TTGTACCCATCCATATATTTTTTTTACGCACAACAGAGAAGCAACAACAACCGAAAAAATGATAAGAACCGTAAAGGATACGAAAAAAATACGAAATTCTTTAATTAAATCATTTATTATGCGACAGGTTAATGTTACTTTACCACCCGATAACAGCTTGATTGTTCAAATATACTTTGTCCTGCCAACTGTACACTAATCCACAATTTTCTTTTTTTTTTGAAAACTTTTAAATAATAATTTAGATGCAGAGAAAAAGCGCAAATGAGAAACACTTCACCGTTTTTAATTAATCATTTCAAAGTTGAAAATAAAATGCATTTTAAAGTGATTTAATTTTTTTTTGTTATGAAAAGAAACGATGAAATTGATAGATCCATGATGGTCTAGAAACTGAATGATAAATTACTCGTTTCGTTACGATATTTGGTTGTGCTTGCTATACTATCTATACAAATCACAGTGCCTCATCAATTACGATTGAAATACATCTGACTTGTGTTTTGTATTTTTAGTTTTGTCTTGTTTTGATTTTTTTCCTGTCGAGTGATTTTTTAGCTCGCCATACCTGTTTCTATCACGAGACTAATAACTTTATGGGTTTTTAAATGCGAAAAATTCCATTATGATTGAACTGCAATAAATAATCAAGTGTCAATCGTCGAACGAGCATTGTGTAAAGTATATTTAAATCCATAAAAAATCTGCTGCTTTATTTTTAAAGCAAAAAAAAAAAATAGCTCGGTGGACATTTCGAGAGAATCAGGTGTATACTTTCAAAAAGTTATCGTTTTGTTCCTTCATTTCTTGTTTATATATGTGACACGGAGTCAATCCCTTTTATATATGAATATATAATATTTCAAATTGAAATGTTCAGCAATGCAATCTGTCGTCCGGTGCATCAATTTGGAAATAGAAAAATCTAAAAAAAACGGTAAATTTGCAAAAATTAACTAATACCACTAAAAAAATTGGATCGCTCGCAACCCGGTAATATAAATATAATCTAATGATAGGTAGATTGAGTAAACGAAGAGTTTTGAATGACATCCACTAATCTCTGTTCGAAGAGATTGATGCGATTATTTTAGTGAACAATTTAAATGAATATTTTTCTCAGTTTTGCCCAAAACCAGCACATTGGAATGGATCGTTTTTTTCTGCGTTCGCTGCAACATTAAATGAAAACGGTTTTTTTCTCTCGCCCCATTTGAAATGCAATTTTTCAATTTCGTTAGCATTCTGTCTCTTAATATCAAAAATTATCGTTTTTCGTTTCGTTTCGTTTTGTGTGTCTTTTTTCGCCGATTCAATATACGTTCGAATGATTGAAATAAAAGCGTACATCAAAGCTTAAATATGATTTCAATTCACTTGCATCGAACCGTGCAAACGTTAGTAAAATTGTGTGTATGCTTGTGTATGGATATATGAACATTTCTGTTGGACGAAACGTGTATGCCCTGAATGCATCAAAACGTATCAAAAACAAATGTTACTGACAATTCAAACAATTTCCCATTCGGAATAAATTGGCGAAAGTGTTAGATGTTTCATATACGTACACACACACAGAGAGAGAGAAAGAGAGAGAAATGTATCGACACATCGTCGCACAAACGAATCATTGGAGCAAAAATATATATATGTATATATTACAAACAAACTCACACATGCTCATCACTGTTTTATTGTTTTCGCTAGCATTTTCAGTGATCATGATAATCGATTGAGGAAAACGTACAGCCAAATCGAATATGATGAAAAATATAAATTTCCAAAAAATGTGCTCTCGCTCAAAAGCAATATAAACAGAATGTGGAAGAGATAGAAAATAGAAAGCATCAACGATGGAGTGATAAAGCGCACTTGCTATAGAAAACCGACACGAAATGTATATATTATATATATATATACAAACAATTGGCAAAAACACTCTTTTATCAATTGAAAATTGTGCGCTCTCTCTCAATTCACATGATTTAGTTTGATTTATCCGATAACTCTATTCTACTGTGCATGGGTTGGTGCGCATATATCAGGACATCGTATCAATTGTGTGAACGATACTCGTCTCAATGCATCTGATACCGAAATACAAACAGGAATACGATGCAAAAAAAAAGAATTCATGTTACAAATAGCACGAAAATGATAATAAAAGGAGAGCATTAGAAATAAAAATATACGGATGCAAGAAAAATGAGAATAAAAAGAGAAAGAGAGAGAGAGAGACTGGAAAAGAAACGGCAACAACTTTTCGCGTAATCGACAAAGGAACAAAGTCAAATAAAAAAAAAATCATACAGTGAGGCGTGAGATCGGTTGCGCGCGCGTTCAATATCGGTACATTGTGTGTTAAGGAAGAAGCATGTGTGTGTGCTAAGGAGCAAGCCTGTGAACATTCTTGACACAACAGATTTTTCAATATTGATATATCGAATTCAAGTCTTAGTCAAGTTTCGTATTGACTTTCCACTTGATTTTCCGTCGTCTTGCACAACCAGGACAAATTATTATTTACAATCATCTTGTGTACGCGTTGCATGCGTGTTTTCTTTGTGCTTATTTTCATTCAACAATATCACTTATCATCGGCGGCACACACACACGCGCGCGTATCGTGTATGCCATTACATTTGTGTATCGGCTGTATTTGTGCACTTACATCAAATCTATTCTTTGCATTTCCGTTCGATTCGCATCTATCAATGATCTCGCACCGATTCCTGGTATCTGTCGTTGGTAAATTTTGTTCAATTGACTTTAGCTACTCTAACTACGGCACCCTGAGACTCTCGACTATTATTCGATTTGTGTGAATCAACACACACATTCATTGGCAGAATAGAGCTTGTGTTCATCATAGCGCTATTAAAACGATTGCAAAGTTATTATAATACATTGATTGAAGTATAAAATGTTCAGAAGAATAAAATAAGAAGTGAGAAAATGTTTAAAGAGAATTTTTGCTTCAACTCAAAATGAGCTATTGTTTATAACGAAGTTTGTGTTTTTTTTTGTTTGAACATTTTGTCTCAACTTCATTTCCATCTCTCTCCACTTGCCCGATCTACCGATATTTCGCATACATAATAATTTTTAGTGTTTCAACTTTCACGCCGGATGGCAGAAAATCGAAAAAACGAACAAAAAACATAATTTTGAAATAAGAATGAACGCAAAATCTACTCCAAGTTTTTTGTTGAATTGTTGCTCTTTTGTACGAAATCGTTTCATCTTTTATTTTATATCTCCTAGGCGAATGCAAAAAAAAAAATTGTTTCAACAACTTTTGGCAAGTGAAACAAACAAAGTCAAGTATTCTCGCTAAATAGTTGCGATGGAAAAACGTAATCGGCAAATGAACAAATTATGATTTTTAATAAAGTCGCTGCCATGTCAAATAGCGAAAATTAGGTAGAATTCAACTTAAAATTAAAATTGAATATAAGCTGAAGTAAAATATTTGGTTTATTAACATTCTGATGATTTACTTACCGCTCTGTTTTCTGTTTTCTTCCTTTCCTCCCAATATGCTTGGCCAAAAGTTTTCTTTGGATTCTATTCCGTGTCAGTAACTTGAAAGTATGATGATATTGATAATGGCGATGATGCAGGAATTCATTTGTTTCGGTCACAGTTGATTTGAAGTGAACATCATAATTATGCGATGAATTTTTTTTTAATGCGGATATTTTGACGGAAATGTGTTGTAGATTTGCTTTTTTTAACTTTTTTTTGTCAAAAAACCAGAATGACATCTGTCACTGTAGTTAACGCTAGGAAGTTGTTTTTAATCATTGCGCTATGTCGTCATGTGATATTATAATATCATTTGTATCGGCGAAATTGAAGGTTAGAGGATACACGCCCGCACTCGAACATACACACACATACTCAGGGTCAATACAAATCGCGTTAGCAATTCGCTTTAAATAGAAAATCAGTGGTGCAAACACGACGATATCGTTTGTTCTCTGACATTAGAATCTTAATCCGGATTACCAAAATGTGATATAACCAGTGAACTTTATTCAATGGTTTAACATAAAAGAACATCTAGCTGTAGCGTCAATTTGTCAAAGAATTTATTATCTTTATGTGTACAATATAAAGTGCTGGTTGGTGTGCTGTCGCCGCCGCTCTATGTATATCGGCATCCGCAAAAACCAGCGAGCACAAAGCAAAAAAAAGCACAACAACAAAAACCAACCGAAAAAGAGAGACAGAGGGTTGAGAAAGCGAGGGAAAAATGAGCAAAGTTTATAGACTTCATTGTATATTATGGAATTCTTTTGTCCGATGCATGCATTTATGCATACATAAGATCTGATCTCACTTTAATAGAAATCTATGGAAAATAAATAAACAAATGTTTCAGTTGTTTTCCTTTTCATCTGTTCAATTCTTTGGCTATGAAAATAACTAACTTTAAGTTAACGTTTTTGCTCTTCCTTCCGGATAGTTATTCTCTTTCTCTCTCATGTCAATATTTGTTCGCTGGTGTTTGTTGAGTGATGGTTGTTTGTGTCCATTTTTATGTGCACTTTTTTTCTTTTTTTCGTTTCAGAACTCTTTTCAATGTTTCATTTGAATGCTTTTCTACCATCTATTTGTTTCTATTCGTTTGTCGTTGCCCTTTCTTCTTTTTTAACATCTCAAACATTCATATGGTTATAGTTTTCAATTTGGCGTACTCATAATTCAATACATGTCGAACGCATATTGGTCGAAGTGTTTGCACTTGTTTCTCATCAAACACATTTATATTTTTTGCAATCGAAAAACTTTCGTGCAAAACCGTCATGGCAACTCTCTCATCTTCACTTCTATTCTTGATCTGTATGTATGTGTGTGTATGTGCTGTCGAAATGTCGTAATATCGAAATAACAAAATATACACTAAACAAAAGGCCATCTGTCACGTTATGCGTGGCCATCGGGTCTAAAAAAAAGCTTCGACAACAGAAAATCACTGGCGCACATATACTTACATCTATTTACGCACACTGGTTGAAAATCTTTGGTGACACAATATGTTAAAAGTTTCGTGTAAATTTTGCACACATTGTTTACACATCTACCCCGTTCATTCGTATGGTTTTGCTTCTTCGCATTGCTCAAGTTTCGTTTGTTCTTTCACTATTTTTGCTATTGTTGCCACAAATATGCACAAAATTCACATTAGCCCATGCAATTCGACTGATTGTTCAGTTTATTACTACTTTTTCTATTTTGCAGCCTCAAACAATATCAAACTTTAGAATTGTCTCTGGCTCATTGTGTATGTGGTTGAGCCTGAATGAGTTTTCAGTGATGAGATTCAATTGTGTGTCGCCTCAAAAATGTTAAGAACTTTTGGCCAAAATGATATTTGTAAATAACTTGAAAGATTTCCACACAGTATAAAGTATTTAGATTAAGATAGAGGAAAGGAAGGCCGGTCGGTGTTTTTGTTGCCACTGGATATTTTGCTACTATGGTTCAATTTGTTTTCAAAAATTCTGTTTATTTTAAGCACTTGACGACTCAAATAGTTTATTTTTGATTTTTTTGGTGTATTTTCGCTTCACTTTGGCATTAAAATTGTAAACACAAAGAGTCACAATTGTTGCAAAATTTTCAGTGACACAACGTTAAAGATCGTGTCGTTGGCGATTTTGACAAAATAATTTAATTTAATATAAGTGCCACAATATCTTTCAATAATTTTCTTCGTCTTTGATCTTTCTTTTCTCACTCATTTTGTTCCTGTTTCCACAAAAAAGCAACTCTTTTTTTCTCTATGTTTTCCGAACTCACAAGCAGTTCAGCGCGAATCACTTTCCACAAACTTTTCCGCATACCGCACAAAAGATTTTCTTTTAGAAAGTTTAATTTGTTTTTTTTTTGTATTCTTCAATGCAAATGGGGTTGCCTTTTTTCACTGTGATCTGTCGCTTTTTTCCTATTTTTTTTTTAAATATATTTTAACTTAGTCTTAGTGAACAGAAATGAGTTTTTTTTTCTTTAATTTAAAACACAAAAATTTGCATAAGTTCACCGATATGTTGACTAGTTTTCTATCTATACATGTATAGAATGAGTGTCGTTCCTTTGTCAAATCAACATAAAAGACATACAAGCGTAATTTTGCATACGATGTGAGTAATCACAATAAAAGGATTTTCTTTTCCACAAAAGAGATTATTTAAAAGTGCTCAACGATGTTCCAAGCAGATCCAAAGTCCATCAAAATGTTTCACTTCGTCTTTTATACACACATACAAACAATCCTGTTCTCGTTTTGCTTGCATCAACCGAGAAAAGGGAAGCTTGACGCTTATATGCGCTTCAAGATGAATCGAAATTGTTTCACTTGTTTTAAAGAAAAAAGAAAACGCAAAATGTTCAACAACAAAGTACGTGGAAAAATTCTTGAAATTAGAGTTAGACAAGTTAGACTGGGGTCCTTGTATTTTATAATATTTAATCGAATTTTTCAACTTTGATCGAAAAAAATCCACTTTGTATTAATTCCGTGTTTTGATCGTTGGATTCTTTAAGAAAACACGATTAAAAAATCAACTTTGATTAAGTAAACACCACTTATCTATCGTCTTGATTACAATTATATTTTCTTTTCTGCGATTGATAGAGCGAAAAATAAATGCGAAGGAATAACAATTCACTGTCGGATCACTCCTTAAAAGTCAACCGAAAAATACGTAACGTTTTACGTTCCGAATGAGAATTTGAAAAAAATTACCGCTACAATCGACACAGTACGTCCGTTATAAAAGGCGTGCAAAACACTTCTGAGCTGTGCGTACTCTTGTGCTCCTATCAAAAAATTTGTTTCAAACAAATTCGACTCGCGTATATTGCCGACGTATGTTGTGTCGTGCGTCTCCTTTCGTGTACGAACAGTGATACGAAGCGTGCAGCCGTGCACACTGTATATTTACGGTCTCTGTGTGTATTATATTTCATGTGCTATGGCTACCAAACGTGCTGTATATGCATGGATGATACTATATATATTGCATCTTGATGTTATGTCGTGTGTGCACTCACAGAATAACGCTATTCGTTGCTCCCGCCGCATCGCTGATGTTTGGTGCCTTTCTATTGATGCGATGTACAATATATTCCGTGACGATGGACACTCAAGCACCTTCTGTTGATTGCAACACACACACACATCGCGTCTATGGTTCTATGATAAAAATCGAAACGTCTTAGATCAACGGTTGGTTGTTCGTTCATACGTACATTTTATGCACTCTTCAATCAATTCATCCCCCAATTTAACGAACAAAAATTATTCAGAATATTTTCCATAACTCAGAATTTTCGACATTTTTTTCAAAGTACGTTTACGTGAAATATTTTACTCTCGTACATATTTTTAATTAAACTTCATTTATTTATTGGACTAAAAGTTTTTACATCAACATTTAATAGAAAATTTGGATGCAATATTATATTGAAACGATGGAGATTGGCATAGAATGTTCAATGTTGCGATCTAAAAAAGAGCCTGCAATTCATATTTAGCAATTAGATTATCCTTCAGCTGAGAAAATGTTTGTCGTTCAGCATCAATAAAATCACTGATTTCCATTATTTTTGCTCTGTTCCGGTTGTATTCATCTCTGAAAGTAATGAAAGAATATCGAATATATATGAAAAAAGTTTTTAATGTGCTATGATACATATTTCTTTTTTTAAAAAAATCTTGTTATTTCGCCGCCATGGTTGATAACCTACAATTCGTATTGTTCGATGATTTTCTCGAGCCATTTATTAGCTCTCGTACACATTAGATCGAGTTTTTGATCGATAATGTTCATGTGGCGTTTTTGCGTGGTTTTGTTGTTTGGATCGTTGTTGGCATCGTTGTAACCATCATCATATGATTGGAAATAGGTATCGCAAGCCGACCGAATGTGGAACGTTTCATTGCTTTTGTCATTAAAGTTTTCAATTATCGTGCGAATTGTGTCGTTGAAGAGTTTCATCGAAACGATGATACGTTCGTGCAACGATGTTTCCAATTCGATTAGGGTGTACCAAATGTTGTCGATAGCCAGTGCAAAATTATCGCTAATATCATCGATGTGAGTTCGATTTTTCGTTAAATTACCATCTGTTGATTTGGCCATCAAGTGAAACGTCTGCTTTAAGTTTGTTACGAAATCACTTTTTTGGCCTAAAAACTTATCAATCAGCTCAATGCCAATCGTTTGAACTAGCTGACAACTATTTACCAAAGCCTCATCAAACAGTTTGATTTCATTAGCATGCTCGTCATGGCACCGAACGCCATACACATATATTTCTCGCGTTACGGCACAAACTCGATTACGGTATCTGCAAAGAGGATGTTTTTCTAATCAAATACTTTTCACCATTTTCTCTTGAGCTCTCCCTCTCTCTCTTTCTCTATCTATCTCTAACGTTCGTCGTTCCCAATGCTAGCACTTACAGTTGAATATCAGATTTGTTTGTGTCATTTTGTTTGGTTTCACCAGTGTCCGATACAATGTTGTCGAAACTATTTGTAAAAAGTGATTCAAATAGTTGATTTTTATCTAGATCCTCCACAAAGCTTGAATGTGATAGACGCAAAAGTTCACTTTCAAGTGATTGCTCGTGTTGTAGTATCGACATCTCTGATTCATGTTCCTCCAACATTCGCAATTTATTCCTGAAAATCATAATAAATGCCCACATTTTCAGATAAATCGATTTGGTAATTTTGAACTAAAAAAGACGACAAACAAAATCAAATGGACGTTGCAACGGTAAAAGACACACAATGGAAACGAAAAAATACATTTCAGAAGCACAAATGTACGTAAGCCCAGAGAAAAAGTGAGACAAATATACAACATACTTGTAAATCTCTCGACCTTCATCTCGTTCTGCATTAGTGATGACTTGATAACCATAATATTTGAGTTTGGGCAAATACGCAGCCACGTACAATCGAAAATCAATATTATCGGTGAGCTTATCGCAAATAGGATTCCCCTCTAAGTTCAAAGAGAACAATTGTTTCTTGTAACGAAGACTCTCAATCTGAAATGAAAACAAAATTCCAAAATGCTGATGTGTGGTGGTGGCGCAAAGCATATTACGAACAAAAACACCTTGAGCATATATACATTGCATACGATTCAAATCAAAAAAAAAGAAGAGAAAGAAGAGATGCGAAAAACAACAACTTAATCCGACAAAGAAAAAGAATGCCAAAAAAAGAAGAAAACAATCGAATACAAAATGCATTGAAAGTGGAGAGAGAAAAATTGTTATTACTCCTTCGATTGTCTCGATGAAATTGTTTCCCAAATTCAGTCGCGTCAAATGTTCCAATTGGTGCAGATTTTCGATTTTCCGTATTTCATTCTGAAACAATGTAAGATACTCCAATTTTCGTAAACATTCCAAATTCTCAATAGTTTTAATAAAATTAAACGATAGATCTAATTGGCGAAGCTCTTTTAAATTATCCAAATTTTCGATTTTTGTTAGTTTGTTCGATTTGAGTGACAATTTTTGTAAGCTAAAGCACATCCAAATATGATCAATTTTGATAATATTTTGATATTCAAGATAAAGTTCGGTTATTGTGGCATAATCAATGGCAATATTACGGCAAAGAGCCGCCGCTTCACCATGTGGACCATGTACGTGTAACAGATTTTTTAGCATCGCATCGTTTATAACACCTGGTTCGGTGGATTTTTTCACAACATGTTGATGATGCTCGGTGTCAGTGAGTGTATTTTTGTTAGTGTTGTCGTTGATACCATTACCACTGCCACCAACTGTACCATAGCTCATTGTCGTTGATTGGTCGAATTTAGTCATTTCGTAAGCACACGCACTTGTAAGCACAACCAATTTTTCGTTCTATCGTTAGTTCACTTTTCACTGAGACGGCCAACCATTTATCAATTTTGCTCATTGAACCAAGCAATCGCTCTCAATATATTTTCAGTTCGCTTCAATTTATTATTTTAAATGCGAAGCACAATTTTCAGTTAAAATGAATTCGATGGAAAAATGATCGAAACGAATGATTCTACAATAATCGTTCTAAACGGAATGAAACAAGAACCAAGCACCATGGAAACCACGGCCATAGAATTTTCAAATACTCTAATAATAAAGCCGCGCACTTCGTTTGCCCAGCGTCTAACAGGTGCGGTTGCTTAGCATTACGATTAATAATTATTGTTTACAGTTAGATAGATATAAATATATATATATATCTAATTGTAATGGCCAAGATTTTTCACATTCATTTTTATTGAGACGCGTCACGCGTGTGGAGCGGGCATTTTTTTCACACATTTTGTTTCAAATTTTGTATGCCAGCGAAAAAAAAGTGGCTATAGCAAGAGCAAGATATAAATCGAGAGCAGCAAAAAGCAGACAGTTGAATTTATACATGGGTCTGTTCAGGCAAATATCGATATATTGTGCTTATATAAAGTTATGTATGTTTTGCAATATGAAATTCGTTACGTCTCGATCAACACTTTTCATTTGTGCGGGAAACAGAGTAATTTATAATTTTTTTTCCCTCTTCGCCACTTGACATGATGATTTATTGGATGAAAAGCGGCTGATAAAGAGAAGTGGAAAAAAAGATGCGTATGTCCTTCAATTTAATGCGGTGATTTTGATACTCGAACA